TAAAACCTTATTAGAGTAAAAGGCACATTGCCAGGAATGAGGGGATGTGTGTTTCAAGGAAGAGGGAGCGCTTGAAAGGGATTAATGGCAAGGTGTCTTTCACCATAATAATTTTTTTAAAAAAATAAATAATCACTGTATTTTTATATGGGAATTTTCTTTATTTTTTATTTTATTAGTGCATGTTTTGTTGGAATAGATAATTATTACATTCACTGTCGGGAATTGGTACAAATACATAACATTTCAGCTCCCTTCTTTTGCCCTCTCTCTTCATCCTCTTTTCATTTTTTCCACTGTATTTTTTTTTGTCATACCCTATAGTAGCCTGCTACTACTGACAGACTTAATCATATGTACTTCTATTAAATGATATCCCCATATATGATTTATATAGTTAAATAACAAGTTTGTATATAACTTCCCTTTTGGGGTTTAGTAATGAAATGTCCTCTACGATTATGATGAAACTCATAATTTTAAAAGTGAATTAGAATTCTCTAGCCCACTTCTTTCAGGGATTGTAAAGAGGAATTAACACATAGGAAAAAAGGGTTAGCCATGTTTAGGAGATGTGAGCTTGAATGAATAGGATCTAGGAAAAGGAAAAGAAAGAAAGCAATAAGGTAGTTTGAAAAGAAATATGGTAGATTGTAGAGAAACATTCCAAATAAATTCAAAATACTTTCATAAATTTACATGACAACTTCGCTATAGGACACTGTCCTATTCATCAGGACTAAACTCCATCTTCTTTTGTAACATGAAAGCTTTTTTCCCCCAAGGAAACTATAGTGTAAATGCAGCTGCAGAAGACTTTAAAAATGTAGTTGTCGAAAAACAAGTCATCTCCTAAGCCACTCTTCCCGTTATCAGTTTCTATAGAAGCTCCAGATCTTTCACTAACTTTAGATTTTTACTAGTTTTTAATTTGTAGAAAATTATAAAAATGTAAATGACTCTTGTCTGTATAAATACAACTTCCATACATTGGAATGTGATTAATTATCATCATGTGGTTATTCCATTTTGACAATTTTGGCATGTATTTATAAAATAATTTCGGCATCTCTCATCTGACTATATATGCATTTGAATTCTCCTTTGAACCATTTATAACTTTTATCTGTTCCCTCATTGATTCCTCAGTTTTATAAATCATTGACATGTTCATTGTGTTTCTATATGAGAGCTACAATTCTTTTTAAAAATTGCTACTTTACAGCACCTATTCTTAATGATGATTATTTATTCTTAATGAATTTCAATGATCAGATAGAATTTTCCTAAAGAAAAAATCTTGTTTCCTATGTAGAATAAAATTTCAACAGAAAAAAATTATTTTAATTGTGTAAAAAGTAAATCCCCGTACAGAATAAAAAGTCACTTATCTTTCTATCTACTTTAGATGACAATATCATGCCTTCTCCATCAGGAATACAATTGGAATTTCATTACATTAGAGATCACAGAATATAGCACGAGAGAAACAATACAGGCAGGCCAGAATTGGCATAAGAAATGACTCTGAGGTACTTTTTTGCATAAAACTGATCCCCTTTCCACTTCAGATGGCATAGCTGGCAAAGTCTGCTCCAACAGATATGAGAAAAGCTTGCCTGCTCTGTGTTGCTGTTCCCATCTGACATCCTTAGAGTTTGTGAAGCTGCCACTTAGCACCTTGAGTGAGTTCACACTCCCATGTGTGTGTTCTAGCCTTCACAAACTAACTTTTTGAAATTTTGAGGGACTCTTTATACTGCTTTCTAAAAAGCTTTAAAAAATCGTGAGTCCGATCTTTAGTTCTTTATATTTTCTTAAACACTTAAGTAATAATGCTTATCTATCATGTAAACACATTGTATCCTATTCATGATTAGAGTATTATAAACCAATGCTATATATTGATTCTCAATTTATGGAACAATGTGATATTTTAAATAAATTAGCTTCTCTACAAAAGGTTTGACAATCAAGATTTGAAAATACTCGAATTTGATATTGTTTCTATTCCATATAGTTTTTCAAGGAATATTAATATCGCTGTTCTAAAACCTAAAACTTCTATGATACAAAATCATTTTTACCTTGAGTCATCAAATGCCTTACACATAAAAAGGATGAAATTTTAAAATTTTTACTTAGAGTTATTTTGAGGATTAGGGAAAGCAAACTAAGATATCCTTTTTTTAATTTAATCAAATACACAAGTACTAGTCTTAAAAAAAAACATTAGAAAGTAGAAAATATAGGATAAAACATATTTTAGCCTTACTTATAAGAGAGACTACACTTTTTCTTTAGTTTCAATTTACTTCTAAACATAATTGACTAATGTCATGTGGTTATGATTCTGTCTCATTATAAGACTGTATGAAAAAACCTCAGAGATTTTCATGTGCAGAGTTGTTTAAACTTTAGCAAGAAATGTTAAATATATAAAAAAATATAAACACTATGGTTTATTTCAATTTTAGTGTGTACTAAATAAAAGAAAATGTTTGCTAGTTCAGTTTTATCTTCAATGATTCTAACATTAACAAATATTGTTCTTTACTGTTTACTGACTCAAACATGAAGAAAAAGGGCAAAAGTGAAATAAAAGAATAAATGAGAAAAAAACAAAATAATGGTTCATATTCTAAATATGTTCTCAATGGAAAAAAGTTTGAATGTATACTTTCTAAGTATCAAAGGATAAAAGTCTGCTAAAAGAAACTATTAATGCTAATAATTCAGTAATCAGAGTGATACTTAATTTTACTATAATGATTATTTATTGGTTTAAGAAAGAGTTAATATATAAGTATCAATTGATAATAAGTGAAAATACTTTGTAATATTAAACCTTGGAGGGAAAAAAGGTTTACAGTGGGAAGTTCACAAATACAAAACTCAAACTGGAAATCTTTAATGAATATGTAAAGCTAGAAGATTTTATTCCTCCAATAAACAAAATAGAATATTATTGGGAGTCAGATGAGTAAATCAAGCTTGTCAAATTGACAAAGCTGTTTTCTTCACCAGTAGCTGACAACACTTGGTGTCTCCCTGGATATGTGCAATTAGTGTCTAGAAATAATTCAGAGAGAACACTTTAAAGGAGTACTTTTCAACAGTCAGCTGTGTTTATGAATCACATGAAGACAATGCTAGGATAAAGATTTTGATTCCTTTGGACTCAGCAAGTCCTAAGGTTTTATATTTCTCAGAAATACCAATATTGTGGCCAGAGGACTATGCTTTGAAGAACAAGGCCTTCAAGAATTTCCAAAGAGAAGGCACAAATTCTCAACCTTGCCATATTCAGCATGTGTGGTTATATACAATATGAACATGTCCATTAAACATTGATGATTTCAGAGAAAGCAGGGAACTACAAAGATAGGAACTACGGAATTAGAATAAAATTCATGCTGATGTTTCTGTAGTGTCACTGCCTCAGTACTCCCTCCTCCCCAGTTAGAACTAGAGAGGCCACCTCACAAAAGGCATCAGAACACATTCTGGGAGACCTGCCAACTCCAGCTCCACCAAGAAGTAGAGAATGCTGAGCCGATCTCTTAGGCGACCACAAAATCCTAAAGGGAGTTTCTGTTGGTGACTACCTTGAAAATAGTGTCTTCCTACTTTTGGGCAACATTGATTGTTTTAATGAGGTCTCCTTAATATCTGCACTAAATTTATGAAATTTAAATTTAGTGTTTGTGTTTTCATTTTATAATTGTTTTCTTTTTTCTTCTCTGTTTACAAGTACTTTGACTTTTCCAACCAGAATTCAAACATCTATCTAGTTCTTTTCTACACCTTTCTTACTCCTCCTCCACGTGTTTTGGTAAAGGTTCAGCCACCTCTAAATAAGTATGTAATTCTTGAAAGGCTGCTGTGCACTCTAATCTCCTCTCTAAGTGATGCTTAGAAACAAGTTAAAGTATCGGTATACTATTCTGAATATATATATATATATATATATAGCTTATTCAGAAAGCATAGGCTGTCTTTTGCCCGGATTTGGATGTACAAGAATAATTAGAGAAACGGATACTATGCTGCTAAGAAGTAACTTTCAAACCAAATATTTGGTACTACTATGATATCATCACCAAGCTGTTTCCTGTCCTCTTCACCTGCAGCAAATTCACATGTCTCATTTAGTGACCACTTTGGCTTGGCCTCAGATCAAGTCCTAGTCCTCTGTTCACTGATCTTTCCTGAGAATTCTCTAATACTTGGTCATCAGTCCACAATAAAACGACATAAAAGACCCTTTAATGTCTTCAACAACAAGCCTAAGAATCAGGTTTTGCAAGATAATTATATTTAAATTATTGGGACAGCATTCTGCATAATAGCTTGCCAAATAACAACATTTTGATGAGTATTTATCACATGCATGAATGCCCACCTGGTATTAGATTGTCCTTTAAATAAGAACAATGATTGTCTTTTTTTTTCTTTTGTTCATATCTATATAAAACATGAACTTTTTTTATTAGGCTATCAACAAATGCTTGTGAATGAAAATATATGCCACCTGGTATTAGATTGTCCTTTAAATAAGAACAATGATTGTCTTTTTTTTTCTTTTGTTCATGTCTATATAAAACATGAACTTTTTTTATTAGGCTATCAACAAGTGCTTGTGAATGAAAATATATGCTAGGGTCAGGGATTTAGCTCAGTGGTTCAGTGGCCTGCCTTGCAAGCGCAAGGACCCGAGTTCAATCCGCGGTACCAAAAAAAAAAAGAAAGAAAATATATGCTAGCACCAAGTTTATGAAATTTTATCTTGTTGTTTGGGATGACTAAATTGATGCAATGTTTCTCTACCAGTGAAGAACAAGCATTACTTTGGTGATACATTATTTTTGTGGACATAACCAGTGAACACATATGGGTTAGGAACCCTACAGGTAAGTGGAGAAAGCCCAAAATGAGTGTTCCATCTTATGTGATTCACTGATTTCAGACTATGTTTATAAGGCCATCTTGAAACTCACTTCTTCAGTATAGTTTTTCTGTGATGATCCTCCACTGGAGACTTCTTCCTAGAAACAAAGAGCAAGAGATTTTGAGAACGTTAAGAGAGAGGGCAGAAAGGATGATCGTGGAGGGTAATGAGGTCGAAGAGCTATGCCAAATCCTTATCCTTCCCAGCCTTCTTGACCAACTTATGATGTTATCAATTTGTCAACTGAATATTCTTGGAAGGAGAGTTTTTTTCAGGGCAGTGATACATCTTTTCAGTGGATTTTAGTTCATGAAAACAAATAAACAGCTAGAATAGTAACTAAATCTCAGAATAGAATTTTAAATTTTAAATTTTTTTCATTGTAAGTGCTTAACATTAGAATAAAAGCAGTCACTAGATCTGTATTCTATAACTTTATGTGAAGATCAATCACCTGACTTCATAAATATTGTATGGAAAGATAACATGTCTTAAGCTTTTAAATCCAATTTTTACATTCAGTCTTTCTCACTTTATTAGCATTTAATTAGTAAATTCTCTATTATTTGTGCCTTTTATTAGCACTTCATTGAGCACTCATAACCACTGAGATTTGAATCATTGTGATTTAAAACATGGAATTAAACATACATCTCAAATTTTCAAACAAATTGCTAGTTTGGACAAGTTTTATTTTTGTACTCCACAGCCAGAGACATTTGGAAATAAATTGTCATATATCATGTAATGATAAATTCTAGGATACCATATGTGTTTAAAATGTAACTAAATAAATGTGAATAAAGCTTACATTTGTTTCCACAGAGTCTTTCACTTTTCAAGAACACTCACATATATTAGCTCATTGTTTTTCCACTACAATCCAGGGCAAGACAACCTCAGGCCAATATGATATATAGAAACACTGAAGCCAGGAGGGGTAGGGTAAAGTGATTAAAGCCAAGGAGCTAGGTAAAACATCACTGGGATTGAATTATAGTCCTACAATCTTCTACCTCACTGAAATGAAAAAAAAAATCCTTTAAAAAAATTTTTGATATATCTTCTAGCACACTTCGAAGAGGGAGGGAAAGCAGCATCCTCATGTCAAAGCAAAAAATAAGCCACAGGTAAAATGTCAATATTCCTAAAAGCTTAGAAAGCACAGGTCAAACCACAGAGAAGATAATATTTCTTTCCAAATCATGTTTTCTACTAGCAAAAAAAATCAATATGCTACAGTTGAAATGCTTCCAAACTCTTCCAAACTTGGTTGAAATATGCATAAAATGGGAAAAAATATTGAAAGAGATAAGATAATTCTATTTTCTTAAACTAAAGCATAAACTATTTGGAAAAAAATCCAAATAAGTCCCTTAAGCCATAAGGAACTTAACTCAGAGTGCTCTAAGAAGACTGGAAACTTACTTCAGATATACTTCCTAGAGTTGAAATTGCTACACTATCTCCACTCCTTTGAACAACTAGCCAGGAGTGCTGCATCTCTTCTAGTTGGCTTATCCATGTGACATAACTGGTCCTTTGCATGCTAATAATCCTTTCTATTTTGATTTTGTTGCCAGGGGTAAGAGGACAAGGCAGCAAACAGCTTGGAGTTACAAATGTGCTCTCTGGGCAGCCTGCATGCAAAGCCTGCCTGGCAGGCTAACAGTAGGGCAGTGGAAAGCAGCTCCTGGCTGCTCACTGAACAAGGAGATTCATTTCCTGAGAGCTTGAGTACAATAGTTCTCTCAATTTGTTTGGACCTTTGTATTCTTCTACTAAGATTTGGTGGTGACTGGGTTTTCTGATGATCAAATATTAATAAAATAGGTTTCTTGATGGCATTGCTTCTTTCCACAGTGCCAGGTCTTTTGAATATCTAAACCAGTAAAAAAGAAATCCTTCTTATCAGATTGACAAAACTAGGAGCAGGGATTTAGCTCAGTGGTTCTGCCGCCTGCCTTGTAAGCACAAGGACCTGAGTTCAATCCCTAATCCAGTACCAAAAAAAAAAAAAAAAGATTGACAAAACCATAGTCAGGAAGTTATGAAGATGGAGGACTTCTTCCTGCCTGTCTGAGACAAGGACTTTCTTAAAGACTATCTAAAGGCCCTGAAGAGATTTATCCTTTTATTCATACCCTAAGATGTGCATACCTCTCCTGTATGCAGATTAAGGCAATTCAGCTTTTCTTTGACCTTCTTTAAGATTATAAGAATTCAGATAATATGCTTTTACTAGAACTGGCACCAGCAACTTGCACTTTCACCAATAAACTGATGTCTACTCATGTCTTGGTCCCCAAGACCAATGAATTTTTTATCTAAGTAGATTATATAAATTTTTCTCTTTTGCCTTTAAAACTTCCCATTGCCTCAACTTTCTTAAATACACTCATAACTTCCTATGGCATATGTATTCCCATTACAATCCTCTGTCATTCTTAAATAAGTATCATTATTCTTAGGAAAATATGTCTCTGATTATTATTTAAAATGGCAGGAGAAACATACATAACGTCATTTAATTCAGGAAACAGAATGTGGCTGCAACTGTCATTCATAAATCATTGAAAAGGTAGCAACAATAAATAAGGAACATAAACTACTCTAGAAAGAAAATACAAAGGAAATGGCCACTTTGCAGAGAAGACTTAGAAATGTGGCAAAAGGTGGATTGAACAAAACAAAGAATAAGATATCAGCATCTAATTCTTGGGGTCAAAAGAGATAACCTCAGTCAAGAGGCTCAATCCAGTTCATCTGGTTTAGGTTTCCCATTTCCGACATAGGACCACTGAAAGCTCTGGATTACCTCCTCCTCCCAGTGGGGGCGCTAGTTGAAATGAAATCCCTTTCAAAGCCCAAAGCTCTCAATTTCGGTATTAATTTTAAAGAATTGACAGCATAAATATCAAGTCATTCTCACAGCATAATACTTTGGTAATCACCTGGAAATGAATAAAAAATATCCAAATGCAATTTCCCTTGAAAAACAAAGAGTAAAGAAGATACAAAAGAGGAAGAAGGAGGCATGTGAAGAAAAGGGCAGAACACATGGACACTATTCCTTAAAAACATTTTTAAAGGTATTTCCTGAAATATGGTTTCACTGATCATGAATTCCTAATATAATCATAATTAAGATGAAGATGTTTTAAATGTGAATCAGAAAACATATTATAAACTCAGAGAAAGTTGAAGAAGATAGTTAACATGATTACTGCTGAGCATATCAGATGGAGCATTGGCTGTCAGAGAAGACTATTGTCATTGTCTTGGTTATTTTAGAGTTAAAGAAATATTCTCAGTAAGATGGAATGTCATAGACATAGATCCACAAGCTCCTCGATACATTGCCATTTTTCACTATTTCATGCCTCTCGTTTCAGTCAATTAAGAATTTTCTATTCACCTCTTACTGATCCTCCCACAAAGTGCAAACAGACTGACACTTTTGTGTAGGGCGCATTTATTGATGAATATATGTCTAAGATTTCTGGTATTAATTTCCTTCCAAAAAAGCCCCATGAGAGCCTTGCTTTGCTGAAATACTCTTCCTACCTTCTTCCAAATGAAACTAAACAACAGTTTTAACACAGAGTACTTCTTAAGAAGTACTTCAGGTATTTGTCACCCATACAAGGAAAGGAGCTCAAAATGGCTGGCTCTGGCATTTCTGAAACCAAGGCACCCATAAATCTTCACCCATTATTTCCTCTATAAGTATGTATCAAGCTCCTATTGGGTGCCGTGTACCATGCTGGGTGTTGAGACAAAAGCTGAACAAAAACTAATCTGTGCTGTAAAAAGATTACCTTGAGAAAACAAATATACAAACAATAAGAATCAAGAGCAAAAAAATTACTTGACACAAATGACCAAGGAGCCATGAAAAACATAAGATGAAAAGGAGAGGTAGCTAGGTACCTCAGTCAGAGGCACTAGAGAAACAGATATAATAGAAGAGTTTACAACTTTGGCTTACAAAGTCCACCCAGAGAGTCAGATGTGGAAGGGTGTAGAAGGTCTGTCTGCACACTGGAGACACACGTATCCAGTCAAAGGTTTGGAGCTCCCTGCAATGCCCCATATGAGTCCGCATCAGGAGGACGATGGGTCTGCAATGGAAGGCTGAAGGATCTGTGTCAGAAGCTGAAGGGCTTGAGCTGGAAGCCAAGAGATGACACCCAAGATGAAGTCAAAGAGGGGGGCTCCTCTGAAGAAATAGAAGCAGATCTGTCCTTCTTCATTTCCCCTTTACACCATCCAGGTGACAAGCTGCGGGGTGGGTCTTCCACACCCTAGGGTGTTGAATTGCTGAGTCAATTTACTTGACCTTCTTTTACTCAAAATGACAAAATCAACCGTCACAGTATCCTTTCATTTGTTTAACAGGTATGTACTGACAATTCTAGTGCATTGAAAACTGGTGTAGATGCATAAATATGGTGACGAAAAGTGCAGAGAGTAGCTTTTGAGGAAAATTATTTTCAAGTTCAGTTGTAAAAAATTAATTAGCCTGATGAAGGAGTTGAATAAGGACAGACTCATACCAGAAAAAGGGGTAAATTTTGTGCAAGGCCTCAGGCACCACAGAACAAATACCTGAGACCAAAAGAAATACAAGGTAGAGCATGATCACACTATGCACTGAAATGTGTACTGTATTTCCAGATGCAGAAAGATCACCACAATGTGTTACTTCTTAATTTCATACTGTGAGTTTCCACAAGTAGCTGCTTACATAGTAGCTAAATGATATGCTTTTTTAACTGCACTGTTATACAAGGTGATTGAATTTATGACACACAATGAAGAGACTGAAATTTAACTTTCAGAATTTGACAAATTGCATAGGTAGTAACTACTATGGTATTGAGGTCAAAGAGGACATGCAATGATATCTTTTCCCAACTGGTAGAAATAGAGTGCATGATTGTGGAAATTTAGAAATTGCTGGAAAGCTCTGAAGTCTCTGAAATCATTAATGCATTTAACAAATTAAAAATTGTTTGTTTTCAAATCCACATGAATTATTTTATATTTAATTTCTTTCAGTGTCCTCTTATATCAAATTTAAAGATGTTTTTG